ACGCGGTACCGAATGGTTTTGGCTGCACATCGCAAGCTTAAGAAATAATCCCACGTTTTGTCTTTGAAACTATAGTGAGATGTTTAAAGTGTATTTCCCCAGTTCTCTGCTTTGCTCATGTTCAGCCCAAGCTGATGACCCCTGCTTTGGATGGGGGCGGGGGGCTGCAGCCACTCTCCCTGTTGGGCTTGGACTGATGGGAAAGAGGTGGGTGATAAATGAAGAAGACTGCCTTTTTTTTGAAAAAAAGATTTATTTATTTATTCAAAAGTCAGAGTTACACAGAGAGGAGGAGAGGCAGAGAGAGAGAGGTCTCCCATCCGCTGTTCACTCCCCCAGATGGCCGCAACAGCCGGAGCTGTGCCGATCCGAAGCCAGGAGCCAGGAGCTTCCTCTAGGTCTTCCCACGTGGGGCCCAAGGACTTGGGTCATCTTCCACTGCTTTCCCAGGCCACAGCAGAGAGCTGGATTAGAAGTGGAGCTGCCAGGACTTGAACAGGTGCCTATATGGGATGCCGGCACTGCAGGCAGGCAGTGGCTTTACCCGATGTGTCACAGAGCCGGCCCCTCATAGTCACTTTAGAAAGCGTGTACAGGACATGGGTAGCTGAAGAGCCGTGACCTGGAGAGCCCATTGCTATGTCTGAGCGAGTTTACCTTCACCGTCAGTGTACGGTAACGATGGACTCACTGTTTTCTCTCTGTGCTTTTAGCCTCTTGGTTGTCAAGGCTGGTGCACTCATTTTACTTCCAGCTTGTCTCTGTGGCCACCTCTCTCATTGTGCTGTCCAACAGAACTGCCCATCTTGAGGACCTGTCCAATGTCCAGCCCCTAGCCCCACATGGCTGCTGTAAGGAGGGGCTGAATGTAGAATTGGATCTGGTTTTACTTCATTTCAGCAGCCACATGAGGTGAATGGTTGCCCCAAACTGGACAGCACAAATGCTCATTGACTCATGATGGAGGATGTCCCAATAAATCCGTCCTTTCTCTTCATTTTGCTTTGAGAGGGAGACACACACATATACTTATATACATACACATACATACACATGCACATGCACACATGGTTGGGGGTAAGAGGGAGAGAAAGAGGGCTCCCATCTGCTGGTTCACTCCCCAGATACCAGCCATAGCCAGGGCTAGGCCAGGCTGAAACTGGGAGCCAGGAACTCAAACGTGGATGGCAGGAACCCAACTACTTGAGCCATCACCACTGCCTCCCAGGGTGCACAGTGGCGGGAAGCTGGCATTGGGAGTGACTGGGACTGGAAGGCAGGCACTCCGATATGGGAGTGCCTTCACTGCTGCGCCAAATGCCTGCCCTGATAAAATCCATCCTGAGCAAACTTATTGTGAGTCATGCGTGCACTTAGGAGGCGGGACTTCACAGCTCAGCGGCAGTCTGTGGAGTCTCAGCTGTTTCCACTCATGGACCGTGGGGCGGGCAGACAGCAGCTGCCATTATCCACAGCTGGGGAGTGATCGCAATCCACCGAATGCTTATTGTGTGCGCACCATGGCACAGTGGAAATTCGGTAGGGCAGGGATGTCCCTACTATTCTAGGATTTGTCTTTCTCTTCTTTATACCAATTTACACCACTTGGTTCACCTGCCTTCATCTACTATATTTGCTAAAATTTGTGATGCTTCAGTAAATAATGAGGGTAAGAGGCATCTGGTCTGGCTCCCGATTTTAGGCACGCACGTGTGTCAAACATTTCTAATACTACTTGCTGTTTTTTTTTTTAAACAAATATCCTATTTTGTTAAGGGAGTCTCTTATTATAAATATGGGGTTTTTAAAAATTAGGTCTGGCTGCTGAATTTCACCCAGTGGCTTGTGGAGTCTGCACGGGGAAGGTTTTCCCTTCTCAGACCACCTTGGATTTCAGCAGCAGCAAGGTACTACCAGAGTTTCATACGCCCAGTGCCCCCGCCCGCCTCACCTGAGCCGCTCGCTCTGTTTCACAAAAGCTAGGCCGTCCAGTGCTTTCTGGACGGTTCTATCTGCAGTCTGTGAGCGCGACGTTCTCCTGTGGGAGGGGATCTGCTGGTTGCACATTGGCCCACAGCTGTGATCTGCCTGGGGTGGGATCCTGACCAGAAACAGTCACCCCACTCTGAACCATGGCAGCACCTGATTGGTACTCTTCCACCTTGTCCCCTGGGGGACCTGTTCACACAGTTTCTTTTTTAAATATTAGCTGATTATTATTTTTAAAATATTTATTTATTTGAAAGGCAGAGTTACAGAGAAGCAGAGGGAGGGAAAGAGAGAGGTCTTCCATCTGCTGGTTCACTCCCCAGATGGCCACAATGGCCAGAGCTTCGCCAATCTGAAGCCAGGAGCCAGGAGCTTCTTCCAGGTCTCCCACGTGGGTGCAGGGGCCCAAGGACTTGGGTCATCTTCCACTGCTTTCCCAGGCCATAGCAGAGAGCTGGATCGGGAGTGGAGCAGCCGGGACTTGAACAGGTGCCCATATGGGATACCGGCACTGCAGGCGGCAGCTTTACCCGCTACGCCACAGTGCTGGCCCCAAGCTGATCATTTTGAGTTTCCACAATGTTATCATAGACTTCAGATTTTAGCTTTCAGCAAGGTGGTACCTGTGTAAAGCTGTGTGGGGCAAACAGTGCACAAGGTATTCAACACAGATCACGATGTCCAGGCCACCTTCCTCACTCCCCGAATCTCACCCATGAGGTGCAAGGTGCTTTCTCCAGCATGGGCTTTCTTATTTCTAAACAGAATGCGTATGTGGCTGGAGTTTGTCCCAGTTTACATCATTGTCCATTAAACTCCTACTGCTCATGGAGATTTCTCTCTCTCTCGGGCCGTTCTCATCATCCACGTATCCATGAACCTCCTGATACCATAGTGCTGGCTTGCATCATTGCAATCACAGTTGAGTCATTTAAGAAGCAACGCTTTCTTTATGACTTTATGCTTTGCCTGGAATAACGGTTTCCTCGTTTTCCATTGCTTGGTCAGTGCATCAGGACAGCAACCACAAAACTCACTCAGGTTCATAAGCCAGCCTCAAAATTCTGCTTCTTCCTTGGAGGTCAGACCTCTTCCTCCTGGCTGCACAGTCTGGGAAGCTTGGGCCTCTAGTATGGGACGCTGGCCGGGGTCTCAGAGTTCAGAACTCAAACTTGGACATGATCCTCTTGGACGTGGTTCTCCGGTGCCCGGCGTCCGGGTGTGCCATGGGCAGCAGGGCCAGCCTCTCAGCCCCCCAGGCAGTGGCTGCAGGTCTCGCCATGCTGCCCAGTTCCTGAGTACATGGGCTTTATAGCTTGGGAGCCGTCTGGACGCCTCTCGGTGCAGCCTTTCAGCGTCTTGGCTGTCACTTTTGTGGGGTTGGAGAAGCAGAAGAGAAAGTCACTCCCCGCGGACGGGCAGTCTCTTGGAGACTAAGTGTCCATTGCCACTTCATTCCCAGCCTGCCAGCCCTGCACCCCCTGGCCTACACACTGTTGCTACTGCAGGGGTCCACGTGCATCCCCCTCTCCGCCACAGTGGCCGTGGTGTCAGCCTCTCCAGTCTGTTTATGGCCTCACCACTTCCAGCACATTCATCACAGGTGGGTGGCAATTAAGGAACAAGTAAAGGGAGCACTTAGTTAATGGCTGGGGATGACTGGGATGACAAATTAAACTCTATACACTTGAGTCAAGTCTTGCCTTAATAGGAAGATTGCCTGACTTGATGTGAGCTGGGCATCTGGCTGTGAGAGGTTAAAGCAGAAATGATCAGGACTAGGCAATACGTAATTATTACGGTACACTTCGTATTATATTTCATACGTTCCTTTGAAGTCACTTGATCTTATTTGTGACTATTTTTATTAAAGCAGCAAGTTGCCATTTTCTGGTAGGGAGAGCCGAGCTCAAAACAGTCGAGCACAAGCCGTCAGAAGGTGGTGTTTTACGAGGTGGGGTGACCTTTCTCTATTGCGGGTGGGGTTTTCCCTGGAAGTCTGGGCATCATCACTCTCCTGATGGCTCTGTTCACTCCCCGCTGGGAGCCCCGCCCTGGCGCCCCCCCCCCCCCCCCCCCGCCAGGCAGTCTCCTAGGGTTAGCAGTGCCCGAGGTGTGCACTTGGCCAGCTCAGCACTCACCTGCTGCAGCTGCGGCGGAGGCCACCTGACGAGCCCTGCACACACCTGTGTGGCTTCTCCGGCTGCTTGTGTACTCAATTACTTGCTTTTTTTTTTTTTTTTAAACACTTTTAAAGAGAACAAGCGTTTGCTTTCAGTATGTAAGAGCATTAATATATGGATTTATGTAACCGAATTTTTGCAATGAATATATTTTGAGTTTTGTAAGAGAACATTTAGTAAGTCTTCTGCAAAATTTGACTGATGGCCAGCTTTTCAGAGACATATCCTTGTTCTCAGAGGTAAAACACCCCTGCATTCTAACCAAAAACCTGTGTACTCCCCGCTGATGTGTTTGGACAAGGATCCTGCAGGTCTGGGTGGACAGAGGAAAGCCGTTGCTGCTGTGTGCTAGTTTTTGTTTTGTTTTTGCCCAGGTGAGCACATTGCCCTCAATATTGGAGTTTAAATGGTTTTGGCCTGGCCCAGCCTCACGTGTTACAGCCATTTGGGGGATGAACCGGTGGATGGAAGATATCTCTCTTCTCTCTCTCTACTCTCTGTAACTCTACCTTTCAAATAAATAAATACTATTTAAAAAAAATAGGAAATGTTTTTTAAAATGTGGTGCACTTGGAAGTCTTTGAGAACTTGTTCCCACGGATCTGCTCATTTCTGCAAAGCTAATTAAAATGACCATGCAAGCTCTATTCTTGGGAATACTGTTGGCGCAAGTGTGTCTCCTAGAAAAGTAATTTGCAAGATAATTATCTAATTAGGGGGCTTTCTACTTGTTAGGCATTTAAAAGAAAACAGCCCTGCCCCCCCAAGCTGCATCTCAGCCTCACAGCATCTCAGGTCTTGGCGTCCCTCTCTCTCTCTCTCCTCTAGCCTGCAGCGGTGTCTGGGACAACATCACGTGCTGGCGCCCTGCGGACGTGGGAGAGACCGTCACCGTGCCCTGCCCGAAAGTGTTCAGCAACTTCTACAGCAAGCCAGGTACTGCCTCCCCGGGGGCTCGCGTCTGGGGATGCTGGTTTTGTCCAACAAGAAGTGGGGGCTTACCCTTTCTTTGGAACTTGCTGCTACCGAGTCTAAGAGCAGCTGGGCCATGTTAGGGTGAGCACATTTTTTTTTTTTAAGATTTTATTTATTTGGAAGACAGAGCGAGCGAGCGAGAGGTAGAGCGAGCGAGAGAGCAAGAGAGCAAGATCTTCTATCTGCAGGTTCACTCCCCAAATGACCACAACGGCCAGAGCTGAACTGATCCTGAGCCAGGAGCTTCTTCCGGGTCTCCCATGCAGGTTCCGGGGCCCAAGCACTTGGGCCATCTTCTAATGCTTTCCCAGGCCATAGCAGAGAGCTGGATCGGAAGTGGAGCAGCTGGGACTTGAACTGCCCCCACATGGGATGCCGGCCCTGCAGGCCAGGGCTTTAACCGACTGCGCCACAGTGCCGGCCCCGAGCACGGGCTTTAGGGAGCAGGAGGCCAGTGTCCACCTGAAACCAAGTAGGAGAGAGCAGGGGAGGGGGTATGGAAGAGCAGGTGATTCGTGCTCAGGGACACGACACCTGGGAATCAAAGCGCCAAAACCACGGTGAGCCCAGGTGAGGCTGGACTAGGGGCGAGGAGAACAAAGGAAGTTTCCCTTCATGCCTACAGAGGCTCCCAGAAGCCCCTGGGGGGACACCTCCCCGGGGGGCCTCTGAGGAAGGGGAGACCACTCTCGGCTTCCGGGAGACCTGATGGCACGGGGTGGGGGAGCAGCCGCCAGAGCTGCAGCTTGGTGACCATCAGGAGGCGTCGTCCCAGCCCACCTCGTGTCACCTGTTTGATTTCGCTGGAGACTTGCGACTGCTGAGCTCCCAGAGACTCAAAGGATGCCCCCGGCTCCCTTCCTCCGTGCCCAGGGTGTGCTCTCAAAATGAAACCCACACGTCTCCCGCTTGGTCCTGGGAATTTTGTCTGTTTCCCTGTGGTCGTAAGTGATCCCACTTTTCTAAGCACCTTGCTTGGGGGACTCTTCGCCTGTGTCTTGGGCAGATGTCGAAGGTGAAGCCGTGCACACTGAGCGTGTGGAAGTTCAACACCGAACAGTGGGGTAGAGGCTGGGATGAAGCCAAAGGAGGATCAGAACGCAAGGTTCCCTCTCCCCTCGGGGACGGGCACAGTGAGACCCTGTCCCAGCCCTCTCCAGGGTACAACCTGCAATATTCCAGAGGGCCTGAGCTTGAAAATCTATCCCAGCCAATCGGCACCATTTCTGCTGAATGGCTTGGGCTATAAATACTCCCCCTGGAAATTCTAAATGAACTGGCGCGGTCCCAGGCGTCTCCTAATTGGACGTATGGCTCTGACTGCTTCCAGAACGCACACAGCAGCCTGGTAGTTTCACACTGGCAGGCGGCAGAGCCGCCATCGCTGGGCCATCTGGTGCAGCCAGCCCAGCCTCTGCCAGACGGGTGCCATCTGGGGTCCCAGCCCCAGGTGTTTACTCTCGGCCTCTGCTTTGAGTCATCGTGGGTCCTTGTTTGGAGAATCCAGCTCTGTCTGTCTTGAGTAGGGCTGGGCTGGGCTGGGTGCCCGCTGTCGTTGGCATTGCACACCAGGGGCTGAGGACTTAGAACAGAATTGCTCAGGGGCAAATTGGGAGTCTTGGGACAGAAGTAGGACTCGATGCGGCCCGGTGCTTTCCAGTTTGCAGAAGACTCTGCCCCATACGGCAGCCGCTCCCGCCTCTCCCAGGGAGCCGGGAGGAGAAGTCAGGCACGCTCAGAATGAGGTCAGCCCACAGATGCAGCGGTTCCAGGCTCAGACTGTGCCACAGCAAAAAGTCATTCTCCCCTTCGACTTCCCATCCCGCCAGCAGGTGGAAGGTTCGGGTGCCCTGCACAGCTCAGATGGCCTCTGGTGGCATAGTCACAGGTAGCCTGGTGTGTCGTCATGGCAGCCAGTGCCCCAGCACTCGCCCCGCTGTGTCTGTGCCCAGGCATGGCGGCAGCTCCTCCTCCAGGTCCCACACTTGCCCTGTGGCGCTGGGACCTGGGAGGCGCATTCGCCCCTGGCCTGGCTGGCCTCTAGCTGTAGAGTGCTTTGGGCACTTCCTGCCCCCACCTCTGCGGGAGACAGTGAACCAGCTGTCCACTCAGAGCAGGAGGAGGGGAAAGGGACAGTGGGTGGGGGAGGGGGAGGCGAGAGTTCACTCTCTCTGCAGACAGCCTCCTGTGAACCGTGCCTACTCTTGATCTGTACACAGCTACCGGCAGGCAGTGCTAACAGCTCTGGTCTGTTTCCCTCCTTACCATACCGTGTGTGTGTGTGTGTGTGTGTGTGTGTCCTTGTCTGTTTCCTTCCTAGCCATACTGTGTGTGTGTGTGTGTGTGTCCTTGTCTGTTTCCTTCCTAGCCATACTGTGTGTGTGTGTGTGTGTGTGTGTCCTTGTCTGTTTCCTTCCTAGCCATACTGTGTGTGTGTCCTTACTCCATGGTGTCCACCTGCTGACCTGGCACGCAAGGCTGTGCCCAGCCTGGTGGGAGCAGGTCAGCCTCCTGCGAGCATGCATGGACTCGGGGGCAGCTCCAGGGCATCCCCGGGACCTCAGTGGAGGTTGGTGTAGACTGAAGAAGACTTGAAATCCCCCTAAAATTGTAGCCTTGGCACCTGGGCCTTGGGCTGTCCCCTGCCTCCACCATCCTGCGTGACAAGGAATGCTGGTGCCTCTTGCCAGCGTGAAGGGAGTGGGTTTTACTCATCAGAGCAAGTGACCGGGGGACCGCTGTAGTGTGGAGAAGTGACGGAGCTCAGGGCTCAGAAAACCTGTCGCTCCCGCTCGGTAGTGACCGAACCTTTATTTTCCCCATCTGTAACATGGGGATACAATGCCATGAAATCTGCCCTGAAAAGCAAGAAGCTGCCACACAGGGGAAGACGTTTGCAGCGCAGTGGGAGGGCAGCTGCTGCAGAGACAGGCACCGGATCGGCAGTGCCCAGGGCAGGCGGCGTGCGAGGGTCTGCAGTGAGGGCTGCCCAGGACAGGTGCTCTGGGGCGTGGTTGGCTCAGGAAATGAGTATCCTTATCTCATGCCTTCCCACTTGGCTTGTCACTCACTATTCCCTGTTGTCACCTGCTAAGGACACAGTCTTGGACAGCGCAGGGACCATTGTATCTTAATGCATGGTTTTAGATCATTTAGGAGCGAACAATGGGATGGTAAGATGACAAGTGCCTTCCTTGTGGGCAGTTCAAACCTGAATTGCTGTCGTTTGTTCCAGTGTCCGGGAGCAAGTGGGAGGCTGCCCTGTGCTCTTTGATGGGCAGTGAGGAGGAAGCTTGAGAACTGGGTCCAGTGAGCTGGAATAGGCCAGCTGGCCCCAGAATGATCGGGGCTTGGCCATCGCTGTCTCTTACGGTGACAGAATCTGAGAGTCTGTTAAGAATTGCTCCAAAATACCAGCGCTCACACTTGCAGTCATTTACTGAGGATTATAGCTTCTATCTTTGGCATTGCCTCATGGCACAACGCACTCACTGGCAGCACTCGGGGCGCCAGCAGCCCCCCGATCTGGCTCACTGGCCAGGCGAGGCAGCTGAGGAAGGACCGAATGGCAGCCCCGGCTCCTTGTGGCCATGGGCAAGAGCAAGCATTCTAAGACAGCACAGGAAGCCTGGCTTTCGCACACTTGTGGTTATAAAATATCTAAACTTCTCTTTCCAGGAAACATCAGCAAAAACTGCACGAGCGATGGCTGGTCGGAGATCTTCCCGGATTTCGTAGATGCCTGTGGCTACAGTGACCTAGAGGACGAGGGCAAGGTAGGTTACCGTCATGGCCCCGCGCGATGTCACCATCTACTTCCCGGCACTGCACACCGCCAGCAGCCGAGGTTTTACTGAAATTCCCTTTCTTAAGAGCACCCTGTCTCTCCAGACTAGTGTAGAGTCTCGATTTCCATGCTGCTGCTTGGCCTTGGGGAGTAGCGGAGTACTCCATCGGCTCTGAGACGGGGAGAAGCAGGTGTCCTTTACCTGCCGTCACTGTGTCTGGAAGAAGGGAGACACGTGACCATGGGCTGGACCTGCTGGAACCAGCCTTTCTGATGTATCCCACAGGGTTTTCTGAGCCCTCATTCTGCAACAGCTGTGACCACAGTTGGGGCAAGACAACAGTAGGAGAGATACAAATAGGCAACAGGTTCAGGCATCAGTAGAACTACAAGGCAGTCAATGAACGCATGTTAGAATGGCGTTCTTGTCTCCATATCTTGGCTACCGTGAATCATGTTGCAGAGGACGTGGGAGTTTGAACATCTCTCGGACATACGGATTTAGGTTCCTTTGCATGATGTATACCCAGGGACCCGGAGGCTGTTCCGTCCACATGAGCACCCCGCAGCGCCGTGGGGCATGGCATACTGATGAATGTCTGTGCAGCTGTGTTGCTCACATCGCTGTCTTATGTGGACGTGCGCACCAAATAAACCTGCAGCTGGAGGTGTGTGTAGACACGTCCTCCTACAGAGGCGTTAGGTGTGGCTGAGAGCGTGGGGAAATACGGAGCGCGCGCGTGCACACACACACACACACACACACACGCCTTCGCAGGACCACAGAGTGCTGGGTGAGATACTCCACCTGTGTAGCTGAGGCTCCCTTCACTCTCCTCCTCCTCACAGAGGTGCCCTCCTGGCCTCCCAGTCCCCCAGGGAGCCCTCAGCAGCGCGGCTTCAGCGTGGGACTGACCCATCTTCTCTGTTTCCCTTCCTGCCCAGGGCTGTCTCAGCTCACTTCCCTAAGAGCTTCCACTCAGAGCCAGGTCTGTGCATGCGAGTGACTGAACCCTGGTTACTAAGGGCAGTGGGGCTGGTGCAGCTGCCGTTTTTTCGAGTGTGCACTTGAGCTGGATGTGATTACCAGTATTTCCTCTTTTGGGAATTGTTAGCAACCCACTTCCCAGATGGAGAAACTGAGGGTTCCAGTCATGCTGTGGCCTGCTTCCCCACTCACGGCAGAGCCTCGGGGGTCTGATGACAGAGCAGGGCTGCTAGCTGCCCATATCTGCTTTGACTTCTGCAGTTGAAGGCCCCAGCCGTGGGTTGGGTTGCACCTGTGTGAGTGGCCCAGCCTAGGACAACGCTGGCCTTTCGGACACATGCAGGAGTGCCTGGTCAGAGCCCTGCTGGGATTCCTGCCATGAGGCGTCTGGCACTGGCTCCCACAAGGTTTTCTCCCAGCCCTTGGGGGGATCGTGACAGCCCGCCAGGAGGATGCTCACTGGGCACACGTGCCCAAACCCTCAGCTCAGCTATGGAGAGAAGAGCACTCCGTGACCTCCCTCGGGGCTGGTCCCTGGGTTCTGTCACTCATGCTGTCATGGGGCGGGGCCGCCTGCACCGGCTTCCGTGGGCAAGGGAGCTTCCTGCTAGGCCGTGGTGATGAGAGGGATGGCAAGGGTCTCAGTAGACGTGCTTTGTTCTCTTCTCTCCTGTTTCCGCTGTGCGTCATCGCCGGTATTAGCTTGGCTCCGACACGTGTGCTTAATGCTCTCCGTGGCTGTCACCCTTCGGTTGTGAGCGGGGCCCTGAGTGGCACCCGGTTCCCCTGGGGCACAGGAAGAGCTGCCCTGAGCCGTATCAGCCTGCTGTATGCACCAGGAGGTGATGTTGTGGGCACAACCCCGGAATTTAGTGTCGATCCACTCCACCCACACAGCCCCGAGGTCACGTGGGAGGCCCCTCAGCAGCCTCAGCCAGACGGGGGAGCTGGGGAAACTGAGGCACAGGGGAAAAGCTGCCACCGCTGCACCGGCAGTGGACAGAGCTGACAGCCTGCTGCAACCGAATGCCCGTGGGTCTGCCCCCCTCGCACCGGGCCCTGTGCTGCGGGCTGGCCACTCCTTCCCATCCCCTCCCTCATCCCTAAATCCTTGGACAGGTTTGGAGAGTTAGTCACATCCTGTTTTCCTCGTGGTCGCCCCGGGGCCACCTCCCAGGTCCGCATCGGGTGTGTTTAGCGCTGTCTCCTCGGATCCCACGGATAAGGCCCAGCTGCTCCTACCCGGGCAGGCTGGGGGTGAGCTTTTATTCAAGTCCACTTGACAGCAGCATAAAGCAGCAGGAGCCCTGGGCCGGGCTGGAATCTGTTTAACTTTCAACTCCGGTTGTCCCCTCAGGAAGGTGGGGGACAGATGCCACCCACGCCACACACTTGTGTGCAGCCCGGTCCCCAGCGCGTCCGTGTTGAGCCTGGATTTGAGAACACGGCTCTGGGGGTGGGGGTGGGGTGCCTTGGGTTCCAGTGCTCAACTCGGGAAACCACCCTGGTGGCTTTCTTGGAAAACTTTAACCCCACAGAAAGGACTGTTTGGGGGAAAGACACGCTCTTAGGCCTTGTGTTTTGTTTTTAAAGATTTGAGATGCAGAGTTACAGAGGGAGAGACAGAAAGGTCCTCCATCTGTGGGTTCACTCCCGTTATGGCTGCAATGGCCAGAGCTGCACCAATCCGAAGCCAGGCGCTTCTTCCAGGTCTCCCACACAGGTACAGGGGCCCAAGTACTTGGGCCATCCTCCACTGCCTTCCCAGGCCATCAGCAGAGAGCTGGATTGGAAGAGGAGCAGCCGGGACATGAACCCAGCCCGTATGGGACGCCGGCACTGCAGGCAGAGGTTTAACCCACTACACCACAATGCCAGCCTTTAGGTCCCGTTCTGGGACCCTGCATTTTGACAGCAGCAGAGACTGCTTGCCCTCTCCCAGCATCATGTCCACGGAACCTGTCACACCCTGTGTATCTCACTATGGGAGATGCCTGGCCTGGCCCTGCCTGGACATGGCCAAACCATTTTAGGAGCTGTGAGGAAGGCTGCAGCAACCAGGAGTCTCACAGCTTCCGTGGACAGTGGAGGTGGGGAAATCGCAGCGTCCACGCTGGAGCACCGATGCGGAGTGTGGGCACCACGGCGCTGGCCCCATTGTTACTCTTAGGGGGCATCAGGACCCATGCTGGTGGAGAGCAGTGTCCCGAGGCCTGGACAGCAGGACTGCTGTCCATTCGTTATCTCATTCAGTCATCCTGTGCATGAACATCTCCTGGGAACCTCTTGTTCTAAGCTCCCCCTGAGAGTCCAATGTCTATGGTGGCAATTCGGCTCCTGTCGGAAGTCACACTTGAGCTCCTTGTCCCTGCACTGCCCTTGGTGCAGCCCAGGAGGCACTCCCAGGACACTGGGACACTTCCAAGTCCGTCTGGTGCTTCGCAGGGGCCCCTAACCCAGTCCCTGCCTGCGTGAAACCCAGAGCGGCCGGGATCCGTGATGCTTTGCGTCCAGCCTGAAGAGCGATTTTTCTCCTTAATTAAACATTCCAGAGATTACGCAGATATCCTAAGTGCATACTCCTTGCTAATGGATTAGAAAGTCAAAATATTTTCATGTGAGAAAGTGAAGAAAGGGATGGCACGAAACCAAAATGAGGAGTTCTTCCGGGTTGCATTCTCCACCCCGAACACTTCGAATGCTTGGCTGTCTTCACAGACAGCACCCACTGCAGGCCACGCCAGACGCCCCAAGCACCAGCGCGGTTTCCAGGGGGCCTGCAATGCCCGAAGCTGGGCATCTGCCTGTCCAGCAAGCACAGGGCAGCCTCCTGGGGCGCAGACTGGGTTTCTCCCACCCTGTGGCCCAAGCTTCGTCTCATCAGTATCTCTTCCACTGCAGATGGCAGATGTAGATTCTAAATTGGATTTCCTGTGCGGGCATGCGTACACACACACACACACACACAGCCACACCCACTCAAGGTATGGCATATGCAGTCGTTAGTAGCTTGGAACTTAATTGAATCCAAGAGAAAAATTAACCTCTGCAGAAGTCACAAAAGCGGGCAATTCAAAAGATGAGATGTAGTCAGTGAGGAGGGGTCTTCTGCAGGGAGCAGGGGTGTGGAGACCCTCGAGGACCATGGTGGAAGCCCCTGAGAGAGAGGCCTTCCAACTGTAGGTTCACTCCCCAAATAGCAGTGATGGCTGGAGCTGGGCCTATCTGAAGCCGGGAGCCAGGAGCTTCTTCTGGGTCTCCCACATAGATGAAGGGGCCCAAGGACTTGGGCCATCTTCCACTGCTTTCCCAGGCCATAGCAGAGAGCTGGATCAGAAGAGGAGCAGCTGGGACTAGAACCGGCACCCATAGGGGATGCCGGCACTGCAGGTGGAGGCTGAGCCCACTACACATGGCACCGGCCCTAGCGGCCGTCTTCTGTCACCAGCTTCCACGTCCACACTGTTCCACATCTGAGTCCTTCTTCCAAAGCCACATTCCGGATTCTTCACTCCATGGGCAGGGACATTGTCACAGCAGGCCTTGTCTCTCTCAGGGCTTGAACAATGGGTCAAGCTGATGGAAGGATTTACAGGAACGTTAGCCTGCTGGGCAGAGCCAACAGGTGGGACTGGGGTTCATGTTGTGCGTGAACAGGATGGGAACCCCCGTAGTGACGGCACAGCCCAAGTGAAGGTAGAGGCATGGACGCTGTAGCAGCCAGTTGACGGGAGGCAAGGGTGGTGGTTGGCCCCCACAGGGCTGTGCATAGACCACAGGTGCACACGGAACCCCTGGGTCTTGTCAACATGTAGGTCCTAGCTCAGGGTCTGCAGGGGGGCCCAAGATCCAGAGTTTCCAGAAGGTTCCTAGCAGATGGGCGCAAGACCTCAAGTCCTACAGGAGAGGCAGGAGCCTTGGTCTCGCAAGTCCGGTCTTGGTTGGGCTCCTTCCAGCTGTCTCCCATCACCAAGTAATTCTGGACAAATTCTCCTGGCCCC